ATTAATTTAAATTAGATTCATAGGATCGTTTTGTGAAGCGAACTAAAAGGGCACATCCACCAGGTTAGATCACCATACGATATGAATTTGTTCACTAGTAGCATAGAAATTGTTAAATAAGTGTTCAGAGTTAAGTTAAATTTAGTTTATTTTTTTAGAACTACATGAAGGCGATAGTTCCGATAATCATAATGAAAAAGTGATTGTTAAAAATGATGAATCATTTGAGCAAGTAGCTTTGCACGATAATGACGAAGATAACAAGATAAAGAATAATGAAAAAGTCTATCAACAAATGGATTTTGTACATAATAATGATATTGGACTGTATGTGGGCAGCAGTAATAAAACAATTAATGATGATATAAAATTTGAACTTCTACAAAATCCAGGGAAACCAGAATTTGGCTACAAATTTCCGTATTCAAATCATATTAAAAATGGTAAAAATGAAAAACGGTACATTTTGAAAAGTCACTTGGAAACATTTAATGCATGGTTGACATACTCGAATGTGGAACAAGGTTTATTTTGCAGGTATTGTGCTCTAATGGCTGACACCGGCGGTATTAGTCATCAAACGCCATTGCAAAAATTAGTAAAAAAACCACTTACATCATTTGCAAAATTATTAGGCAAAGATGGTGATCTCAGCTGTCATGAACAATACAGGTATCACAAAGAGTCAGTTCAGAGGGGCAATGATTTTGTCAAATTATACCAAAATCCATCATTTGAAGTTGTTAATCAACTCTATTCCGCAAGATATCAGCAAATGAAGGAAAACAGAGAAAGATTGAAGCCCATAATTAAATCTATTATTTTTTTTGGGAAAACAAAATATTCCTCTACGAGGATATCGAGATGACGGAAAACTTAATATAAGTACTAATGATGCAGGCGATGCTGATAATGATGATGATGAAGATGATGAAAATTTGGACAATGACATGCTTAATGAAGGGGTATATGGTACCGGTCCAGTTAGAAATGAGGGTAATTTCAGAGAACTACTTCAGTTTAGGGTCGATGCTGGAGACCATGTTCTTGAAGAACATTTAAAATCATCTAAATCAAATGCGACATACATAAGCAAAACGATTCAAAATGAAATCATAACCACAATTGGCGATATTATTACAGATACTATTGTACAGAGAGTTAAAGCAGCCAAATTTTATTCAGTTTTATTTGATGAAACAACTGACATATATGGTATTGAGCAATTGTCTTTGAGCTTACGATATGTTTACAACGGCCAGGTTAGAGAAGATTTTGTTGCATTTGTGGATTCTCTAGAGGATGCATACAAAGATATAGAATCGGAACCAAAATTAACCGGAAAAATGTTAGCCGGCTCAGTGTTACGTTTACTAAAAGCGCTAACTTTAGATCCACAGCATTGTGTTGGTTGTGGAACAGATGGATGTTCTGTCATGACATCTCAGTCCTGTGGTGCAGCTGCAGAAATATCAAAAAAAGCTACATCATGTATTCATTGTGTTTGTACTAACCATGGACTGAACTTGAGTTTATCTAAAACATCCGATGTACAAGCCATAAGAAATGCAATGGGCACTATTAAGCAAACGGCTTCCTTTTTTCGCGCATCGGCCAAAAGAAAATTAGTGCAAAGAATAATGTTTAAAAATGAAAGTCAAAATTTGAGACAAAATGTCATGCCTTTATGTGAGACACGTTGGGTTGAACGCCATGATTCGATTATCAGTTTTAGACAGTCCCTGCAATATGTTCTAGCTTCTTTAGAAAATATTGCTAATTGGCATGACAGAGAAACATCATCCAAAGCAAAGACGTTGTTATCGGCTTTAACTGATTCTGAATTTTTAATAGCTTTGTACTCAATTGCCGATCCATTAATTCTAACTAAGCCACTAAGCAAAGTTTTACAAACAGAAAATTTAGATTTGGTCGAGGCAGCTCAACATGCTAATAGAGTCATAGATAATCTTCAATCTAGAAGAGAAAATGTTGAGCAAATATTTCATGATATCTTTACGAGAGTTTCTAAAGTTGCAGAGGAACTGAATATTGAATTAAAAATGCCAAGATGTATAGAAAGACAAGTAAATCGTGCAAATATTAAAAGTAACTCATTAGAAGAATATTTCAGGATTGCTATATTTATTCCCATGCTAGATAGTATGATAACAGACATGAAATCAAAATTTGGAACAATCCAAATAGCTATAATGGGTTTGAGTCGTTTGATACCTTCAGTTTTACTCCGAATAAGTGGTAATGCAGAACAGAATAAAACATGGTTTTTAATTGACCTAGCTGTTACGAAATATAAAAGTTTAATAACAAATTTGACCTCGTATGATGACAACACGGCCATTGAATTTGTACGCAATGAAGAAATGCTCTGGACGCAGTACTGGGTAAAGATGAATTCACAGCCCAAAACGGCCATTGAAGCTCTCGCATTGTGCAATTCCAATCTCTATCCGACAATTCACAGCCTGTTGTCAATATTGTGCACCATGCCTGTTTCAGTAGCAACGGCAGAACGTTCATTTTCTACCCTGAGGCGGTTAAAAACGTGGATGCGCTCCAAAATGAATGAGGAAAGACTAACGGGATTAGCCTTAATGAACATTCATCGCGATATTGAATTAGATATTGAAGACATTATAACAAGGTTTGGCCGAAAAAAATGTAGAAAAATGACATTTGTCTTGTAAATATTTCATGTATATAACAGAACAATGTTTTGAAGAATGTTTTTCAATTTAAAAAAAATCAAGAAGTTGAAGTGTTTGGCTTTTTGTTATTTATTTCATAAAATATCAAACCTCAGTTCAAAGTGGGGGGGGGGCGATCGCCTCTGGATCCGCCATTGGTAAGTTGCATTGTAAAAACACAATCAATGAAACAAATGAATGAACATATTTCTTAAAAAACACTCAATTGAAAGCTTTGAAAAATTTCTTTACAATTTTGATGTTCCACAAAATTTTAACTCCATCTTCTTCACAATTCCGGTAAAAAAAAGTAATATCATTTTAAATCACATTTTAATTTATTTTGTCATTTACGATCGTCATCAACAATAAATACCAGAAAGAAACAAAGCACAGTTGTCTTTCAATCATTCGGTATCTCATTTTTTCAGCTTGTTTAAAAAACGTGAGCATTTCAAAAACTTTGCTAATGTCGCAAGTTATAGGAACAAGAAAAATATTGCAACGTTAGCAATAAATTCCAAATTATAACAAAAAAGTCAATAAGTTAACTTCAAATAGAAAGAGATCTTTTAACAAAAAACTCCGACACTGGAAAAAAATTTTCGACTCAGATTCCCGACCCCAGGTTCCAACTCCCAAAAAATTACATTAGTAAAATAGTAAAATTACATTATTTTCAGGTTATAAAACATACTGAACAAATTTAACTTTTGCAACCTAATTTCACCTAGTAAATAGAAAATACTTTGAAAAACACTTAAAACCAGTTAATGTAATTGTTTTTCTTAGTAAAATTACATTATTTTTATGTTTGAAAACATACTGAAAAAACTGTGATTTTATTCATATTATTAGCATTTATTATTATTATTAAAAACAATTGCAGTTTGCTACACATATTTATTTTCCAAAAAAAATGATTCTAAAATAAAAATTAAAAATTTGTTTTCTTGAAATCAATGACATTTACCGAAGTCAGATGAAAAAATCTGAGCCCTCAAAACGTTCCAACTGCGGCGAAAATCTCCGACTCCGACCCTGCTTTTAACATTACTAACTATGTGACATCATTCGGAATACATGATCAAATATATGTTGGACCGTTGATATCAAACCTTTAATATCAAATAATATATTTTTAACAATTTGTTATAATTTCTTTCATAACAAACTAGTATCTACTTTTTTTCAATTTTGACAAAAATGTTTGTAGTACTAAAAAAATATACCTACATTAATTTTCGAAAAAAACCGCAACATTTTTTCAATTAAGCATGGCCTTCACAATGAACATGTAATAACATTGTAAAAAGCAAATTAGCGAGGCATACATAATATCTTAAAAGTGATGTTTCATTTCATCAACTTCATTTAGCAAAAATCGTACACTCCGATTCGCTCCGATTCACATTTCCATTAACCACGCTAGTCTACTTATGAACCGGTTAACTACGTATTCTTTCTCACACACACATATATATATATAACTATTTATATATATAACTAAATATTTGATATATTATATTGATAAAAATCACAGCATGTTCAGCGTTAGATAACATCCTGTTTAATTAATCGGTTTTTCTAACAGTAGGTTGTAAATCATTGTCAAGTTTCTTGAGTTCAAAACCAAAATTTTTATTTATTTTAAACATGATAGAACAAAAATGCTTTTTTCGTTATTCCTTTACCATCTTCGGTATTCGAAGTTATATGTGGCCGAATGCACAAGTACATATTCTGTGCTTTACAATGTTTATTTTATTGTTTAATGTTTGTTTAATGTGAATACTTAAAGGTAATTTAATTATTTATTACCATCTTCAACTTTGTGCAATATGACACTTTAACGTGTCATCATTATCGATAATTTCTCTGTTTCTAAATTTATTAGTGGGAAGGATTCCAATTGCACATTGTTGAATATTTATTATCGGATGTCATTGTTCTTTGCTCGTTAGAATGTGGAGTTGCTGTAGTGAGTTGCTGTAGTGTGCCAAAAATCATTATTTCAAGTTTTTGGGCATTTAGTTGAAAAAATTAAGTGAATGCCAGTTATTGATGAGATACAAGAGTTAAGTCTATCAATTTGACTAGAGATATTTTGGTAAGAAATTTCAGATATAATGCTTGTATCATCGGCGTATTGATAGAAGAATATGTAACAATTGTTAAAGAAAGATGTCAGATCAGAGACTAGTATAAATAGTGAAAAGCATTGGTGCTAATACAGAGTCCTGAGGAACTTTTGTAGATAAGCAAAAAACCGAAGAGATTTTTGTGCCAAGTTTAGTAAATTGAAGGCGGTTTGAAAGATATAAATTGAACCAGAACTAAGATGCGTTCGCGCATGCCAAACTCCATTTTTAGCTTTTCTAAGAGTATTTGATGATTAATCGGGTCAAAGGACGCAGATAGGTCCAGGCTGATTATAGCTGCACTGCCCCGATTTCCACAACTGCTAGTGAGATTATCATATTAATGGAGAAGCACAGTTTTGGTGGAAAAGCCAGGACGATAGGCGGACTGGAAAGGTGCCAAATTTAAAATGAAATGACCTGTGTAAGGATTCTGTTTAAAGCCAAACGTTCAAAAATTTTAGAAAAAGTAGTAAAATTTGAGATGAGGCGATAGTTTGATGAGTCCGATGCATCAAGATTAAATTTTTAAAGAACGGAAAATCTTGAGCAGTTTTGAAAATTGTAGGAAAAACATCTTTGCTTAAAAAAAATTAGCAAGTTTGAGATCACAGGAGCAAAGAGTGAAGAAAATTTTTTGAGAAGAACAGTAGGCAAAACGTCAAAGGAGACGCCTTATTAGCAATAGTGGAGACGAGTTTAACTACCTCCGGAACCGAAGCAGCTGGAAAGGCGTTAAATATATTCGTTGAATATGGTCCGTGTTTGAAAAATGTAATGTATTTGTTTCAATTTGTCTTTGATTGACTGATGTATGTTATTAATTTTTGATATGAAATGATTTGCAAAAGAGTTAACAAAGATTCAACACTTATCAAAATAAATTTGTGGCGGACGAGAAAGGAGGTTGTCGAGTGATCGCCAGAGATCACGAAGATTGTTCAGAGTGAAGCTCTTCTTAAATGCAGTCAGTCTTTAATTGCAAAATTAACCATTTAGCAACTTTTTTAGCTTTCTGGTATTCAGTTTTGATAATTTCTGATCTAAATCGCTTTAAACTGTCTTTCTAATAGACAAAGTCCGAATCGCATTTATTGCACCAATTAAAAATTGAATATGTTTTGGACGAGTGCTGCCTTTTGAGAGGATTTAAGTGGAAGACGTGCCTTGTCTACCTAGACGATAGTTTGTTTGATCAGCACCTTGCAAGATAGCAAGAGGTATTTTCCAAACTCCGTGCAACAAATCTCAAACTGATTAAAATAAAATTCAAGTTTTTCTTAAAGGAAGTGGACTACATTAAGCATTTGATACCACTGGCATGTGTAAAAACGGATTCCTGCAAAATAAATGTAGTAAGAAACTTGCCAGTACACAATATAAACATGAAGTACGTTCTTTTCTTGGGCTAGCTACCTATTACCGACGGTTCGTCAAAGGCTTTGCTCTAATCGCAAAGCCATTACATGAATTAGTAAAGAAGAACTAAGTGTTTGTATGGGATGACTCCACTACAACAACATTTCTACAGCTAAAAAACTCATTCCTTTCTAATCGATTCAAGGAAAAACAAGATGCCAGAATTAGTCACAAGACATCGATTGAATAAAAGGGTGCTGGATTATTATAGCAAGAAACTTTCAAAGCCGGAGCGCAGCTTCTGCGTGACAGGTAAGGAGCTGCTGGCCATTGTATGATAGTGCACTTCCATAGGTACCTTTACAGACAAGAATTTGTTTTCCTTACGAGCCATGCGGCTCTAAAATGGCTGTTCAACTTCAAGAAACAGGAAGGATAAGTAACCCGTGGTTGAAAGGCTACAGACATACCATTTTAAAGTAAAAAACATCAAAAAGAATGCATCCATAACAACTTCAATTCATTATCACGTCGACCAATCCCGCCAAACTGCAAATACTGCTGCTGAGCGAGGAGAAAGCACAACCAGAGGGTGAAAAAGCAATTTCTTTGACAACAGACAGTGGATGGACACCAGTAAAACTAGCTGCTGCACAACGCGCTGATGAAAACCCACAATGCGTCTTCAGGTGAAAGGGAGGCGGTCAAAGAATAAACTGGAAAGACATCTCGGAACACGGTCCTATGTCGAAATTGTATTAGAGCTAGTGGGATTCACTACATCTAGAAGACGGACTTCTTAAGCGTAGATGGGAATTTGCAGACGGGTCCAACCACATCATACAAACAGTGATACCCAAGGACAAAACAGCTAATGTTTTACCCTGAAACAAAGAAGGGTAATTGGTATATCTTGGTCGTCGCTGATTACTTCAGCAAATGGCCGAAAGTTTACCCAATACCAAATCAGGAGGCTCACCAGAATGCAGATGAAATGGTGATGAACTGGATAAGTTGTTAAGGCGTCCCTATGAAAATAAATTTGTATCAGGGCAGAAACTTTAAAGCGCAATCATTTGCGAAAATTTGCCAAGTCTTAGGAACCAATAAAGCATGAACTCTTCCTGATGGCATATCGGAGTGCCACCCACGCCACTGTTGAGGAATGTTCGATTTATTATTGTTTCTCTTTTGTTTGTCGAATAATAAATTGAACAATTTAAGACGAGTAGAAATAATTTTATTTTATTAACAAAACAAAAGTAACAATTTCGAACTAATGTAAAAAGGGAAGAGGAAAAGTAAAACCAAGAAGTAGTAGTAATAATAATAAATTAAATTCAAACATAGATTTATTAAAATTAATAATAATTAAAATAATAAATTAATAATAATTTAATTAACAATAATTAAAAATTTCATGTCGATTTTTCATAAATCATCTTCAGTGCAGGTTTAGTTTATATATTTCTTTAAACGAGGCAAAGTTCTTTAGCAAAGTTTTTTTAGCAAAGTTTATTAGTTGGTGTCGTATTCTTCATCTTTGTTGTTGTCGTTCCTTTGTTCTTCATTGTTATTGAAGTTAGTATTAAGGCGTTGAAATGGTAATGGTGTTATCATTATTTGTTAGATGTTTATTTGGGATTTATTGATATCTATTAGGACAGCTTCTGCAATTTTTAGATGTATTGTGTTGGTGTCTTGATAAATTATTTTTGTGTTGTTGACAAAAATTTTGCGAGTTATTGGTGCGAGTTATTGCCAGATTGCAAGTGAGATTTGATGGCTCCTCTTTGTGTACGCATTGTGAGACGTCTTGATAGTGAAGTACGAATATACGAATGTTGTTGACGCGCAGAGTCGACAATAGGGCATTTAAATTCTTATATCACATGATTACGCTTCATCGTAGAATCGTCTTTAGTTGTTCTTTAAGACCAATTGTGATGTCTTATAATTATTGTAGTATATCCTGAGTTATATTTTATTAGTTTAATTGGTTGGTGTAACATTTGTTTTGATGATTTATTTGATGACGACTTCGTCTATTTTATGTGCCGCTAACACGTGACTTTTGTAATATAGGGTTATGTCGTTGTCATTGTTGTTTTTAAATATATAGCTATCTTGTTGTAGTCTTTGTAATTTTTATTTTAACTATTTTCAAAATTCATTTCATTTTTTCATTTAGTTATTTGATTATAGGAACTAGGTGTTATTAATAACATTAACGGGTTCATTTTTTTACTACATAAAATAATTAAAAATCCGCTAAAAAATTGACTCATTGACTATTGATTTTCGCTCTCAAATTTCAAAAGTGATAGAGACGCTGCCGATGATGATCACTATCGTTATGCCTCTAAAAAATACATGTCGTACAGTTGCATACTTACACCTTCAACCTCACAGTTCAATTGAACATTTTTTATATCAATTGAGTTGAAAATTGTTTACATAAATTCCATTTTATTGAAAATTTGTAAAATGAACAAACAGAAACATGATTTTATTCTGGGTAGAGCCTATAATATTATTAATTAACAACGCATTATCCATCACATTGTACAAGTTTTTCCAGGGACTAACAGAGGTGTGATGCCTCTGTACTTTTTGCACTTCCGGCGCGAGCCCTTGCTTTTGTAGAATGTGATCATAATAACTTTTCTCCATCTCTCAGAAACCTCACATGACTGCCACACACAAATGACGAAGACACATTGTAGCCATTCAAGCACACAGCGGGCCACCCGATTTAAGCATTATCGGATGAATACCATACGAACCTGGTGCTTTACCATTTTTCAAGGTTTTCAGAGCAGCAACAACTTCAACCAAAAAGTGAGTGTTTTTCAACACTAATTTTAGGGCTGGTTGTAGTTGAATTAGCAAACTCCAGCAATTTCTGCAAAGCGATGTTCTTCAGTTATTTCCGACTGTAACGTAAGTTATAATTAGAGTTAATCGTAAATTTAACTGTAAATGGTCTAAAATATATAAATTTATTTTAGCTGTAACTCGACTAGCAGGTACATAACTAACTTAAGCGTAACTCATCCAGTAACTCAACAACTCGATCAAATGAAAACCTTGGCTGAAAAATTATTATTATTGACATCCTTTAGTATAACTTATGGCTTGGAATATTATGAATTTAGACAGAAATGTTCATGTTACATGCAAATTTCAAGTTATTTAAAACAACATTTAATGCCAGATAATTTTGTTGTTCGTTTCAGTTTATTTTAAATTATGTCAATTTACAGTTAAGCATACTAGAACTACTTTTACTACAACTACTACTAAAACTAATTTTACTACTACAACTACTATTACTACAACTACTACTAAAAATACTATTACTACTACTGCAAAACTCGTAGTACTAAAACCACTACTACTACTTTACCTCTATACCACTACTACTACAACTTATACTACTACTATACTATTGCTACCACTACTACTACTAATAGTACTACCTAGCTTGGCAATATTGTTGATTTCATAAAATGTTGATTGCGCGGGAGCGAGGATAAAATTTTAATCATTAGCTGTCGGAGTATAAATTCCCGCTAATTCTTCTTTTATATGAATCTATAGGTTACACATTTATCATAAAAATTTAATATAATTGGTTAAATTCAAAATGAGTTCCAGAGTTCAATCCTTGACGCAGTAGTAGTACTGAACTGCTTTTCTACTCCACCGCGTCATCATGCAACAGACGTATTTTGTACCAAGAGTAAAGTTGGTTTCTTGCCATACAACGTTTTAGAGCTATGGCAAATGTAACTATCATAGGCAGTCAAATTCTAAGCTACGATAAACTGGACAGTTACAAACTGCGCGTCATTTGCTGTTTACCAAGAATTGGTTAATTTCTTTAACTGTGATACCATCATTTGAGTGTTATATAAGCCTATAAATCTCTTTTGGCCAAAATCCTGCAGAAACACAAAACTTGAGAAAGTGATCGGAGATATCATTTGGTGTGCCGCTGCCGAACGGGTCAATTATAGCAGGGCAAGTGCCCGTCATCAAGTCAAAGAACGAGGTCGTTAGATTTAGTAGAACGAAGTGAATTTTTTAAAGCAACGTAGAATTTATCTTATCCTCATCTGTTGCTTCGTTTATTGATGCGTAGCAGACAATCACCAAAAAACATCGTATCAATTGCCTAAACGAGTCACCAGTCAGCTGTCTCTTGCTGACCCGATGCCATCCATGTATCATGGGCATGCATCACCAACAGCCCGCCACCGAACTTTCTGCAAGCCCGCGATACAGATATTAACGCGCAGCAGTTCATTCACAAGGATCTTTACACTACCCGTTACGCAATTTGAGCAAACATTCCATGGGCCAATCCTGGTGCTAGCCTTCAAGTCAAGTAAAATATGGGGAGGTTGTCGAAAAAAAAATGTTTAGGATTAGAGCTGCTAGAATTAAAGTTAGGGTTAGCACGAACGATGCGGTATGAGATTGATGTGTGATGACTACTTGGACAATACTTTAGTTGTTTGTGGTCCCAGTTGTTTGCCAGACAAACATGAGTGGGTAGAGAGCTGAAGGGCATTTGAGGCAATTGCAATCGCTTTAGATACGTACTACCACATCTGATTTTTCGGTAGAAGTTTACTCCCTTAACCTTCCTCTATAAAGGGCCTAGCCAAAAGACAATGAAAGTATGTATATAACAGGGCTCGGAACCGTAATTTTTTTTTTTCGTTTCGACTAGGGAAATATTTTCGACTCGGTTCAGTTTCGGAAGTAGTTACTTTCCAAATGTTACCGCGTAACAGCTTTGTACGTATGTAGATATCGAATAAGTAACGATTTGGTAACTTTTGTTGATTATTGAAAATTAAAGATTATTTTTTAACCAAGAAATAATAATTTTTACCAAATACACCGTTATTAACTCCACAAAATAGACTATACAGTATATGCATGTACCATAGACAATTAGACACCTTAAATTTAGGACTGACGGCGCTCATGCTCGGTATTTCATACTTGGGTTCATCGCGAAACTTGGGTTCATTTTGTAAAGAAGTCAAACCACTTCACCATATAACGAAAAATTTGATATAAACCATAAACACCTTCAACAAAGGTTTTTATAAAAACACATTTGTGTATCAATCAATCAATCAATCAGCTTGTAAAGCGCTAATTCCGCGATGTTCAACAGCGCTCCTCAATGAATTTGGCAAATAGATGGGTCTTGAGATCCGCTCTTAACTTCGTAAGTGATGAAGAAGTAGTCAGAGAAGTAGGTAGAGAGTTTCAGAGAAAAGGACCAGAAAAAGCAAAAGCAGATTTAACACGAGTTAATAAGAAGCGAGAACAAGAAGACGATCGTAAACCGGGGCGTTTAGGTTCAATTAATATATCAATTGAAACTTATACATAAATGTACAAATTTTAAAAATTATTCTATATTTTATAGGTAGCCAGTGCAAGAGAACAAGATATTGATTAGATTGAAACTTATACATAAATGTACAAATTTTAAAAATTATTCTATTTTTTATAGGTAGCCAGTGCAAGGGAAGAAGATATGGAAATATATGAGAAAAGAAAGGGGCACGAGCAACTAGACGAGCAGCAGAATTAAAAGCTTTACTTAAAGGATAGAGTATGGAATCAGGAAGACCATAGTAGAGCGAGTTACATTAAAATATTTTATCAAAAACGAAATATATTTCGTAAACAAAATTTCAATTTTTAAAGGTGTATTTTAGAAAATTGCAATCGCAAAGTAATGGGTATTTGTTATATTATAGCGAAAAACTCAGATTTGCTAACTAAAACCAACCACCCATATTAACACTATTGCTTATCATATACGTCGAGGACGTAGTTGTAAAATCAAAGAAAAGTGAAAATTTTTTAGTTTCGAATAATTATCCAATTTTCATTTTTTAAATTGTGATATTTCAATAATATTTTCTATTACGTCTTGAACATTTTATTTATTTTTAGTATTTTTTCTTATTATGTAGTTGCATACTACTTCAGTCCTCGTAGTTCTTTGACCTGGTGTCCTATGAATCGCAACGATCAGTTACCATTATCATTGATAGGCCTCCCCTGGTTAGGAAGGAATGAACATGACAAGCAAGAATATTGTACACGCGATATTTAAACGAAGAATAGAAATATCATACATGTAAAAGCGAAAAATTTACAAAAAGTTTAAAAAGTCTTTTTTTCGGTTAGCTTCAGATTTCTTGGACAAAAATTTGTTTTTTTTTCGGTATATATTTTTATGAAGTAGCCTATAAATGAAGTCCAAAGTTTATTTGTTAGTTAACATTCGTTACCAAGACTGGTGATGTCAATTGAATAGAATTATAAAATAATTAACTAGTAATAGGACTATTCAACTTCATAAATTTGTAAGAGTAGCGATACATTATACCAAAAAATAATGAATCACTACACTATGAATCAAATTCTTAAGTACCGTCGACTGACTAGATGACTTTTAAGTATGTTCCACCTGTGTGTGGATGATGAGAACCACACATAAACGTTTTGAATAAAGTCAACGTATGATACTGCTGAAAGCGACGATTCTGCAGCCGAATTACCAACTAGATTTAAGCTATGGCTAGAGCAGGGAATGTAAACTGCATTGAGACTGTGTGCCTTGATTCGCGCCTGCAAGCCAGAGTATCTGCCAGACATGTTTGAAGCATTGTCGTAACTCTGTCTCCTGCATTTTGTGATATCTAACCCCCATTTCTTCAAAACGTCTAGTATCACTTGCTCCAGATTTTGAGCGTTATGAGCATAGATGTCAACAAAAGTTAAAAATCGTTCTTTAATTTCACCATCAATGAGAACATATCTGAGTATCACAGTTAACTGGTCCACGTGGCTAACATAAGGTGTTGAATCAACAATCAAAGAAAAATATATCGATTTCTTTACTTCTGAAATAAACTGATCTCTGACAGCATTGCCCATTATTTCAATAAATTTGTCACAAGTAGCATGTGACAAATAACTAACAGAACCACTTCCCTTGTTGCCGTACCGCGCAATATGATTTGCTAAGAAAAGGTCAAATTTTCACAAATAATTCAAGCAACTAGTAAAGTTGCCGTCATTGTTGTCATGACCACGAAAAGCCAAACCTTGAGAGGAAAGAAACTGTACAGTTGCTACAATCCTTCGTAGAACTTCTCTCCAGTATTGCCTTTCATCATCTGACTGTTTCGCCATTTGTTTGTCAACACGCCCGTTTACGTTTAAGCGTTTAGCCAAAGTGCACATTGCTTGAACATGGCCATACGAATTTTCATGTTCAGAAATTTTCGCGGCAATATTTTTCCAATCTGAACACCCATTTGTTGAAAATTGACTAGCTTTATTTGGAAACAGTTTGCATACATAACAATAAACACTTCCATTAGTTTCACTGAACACTAACCATTCACGTCTTTCTTTTTGGCCATTCGCCTTGGTCAAGTAAAAGTTATGTTCAGACAAATGACGAAAATATTGTCTGCCACGATCTGTCATCAACATGCTAGCGCGTGAAAAGTCGCCAACATTTTTTGGTTTGAAATCCAAAACATAATTACGCATGGTTTCTGTCAAATTCGCTGGCCACAGCAATATCTGTCAAAATTTCACTACAGTTGTTATCAACAGTTTCAATACTCGCGACCTCTATAGAACCTTCAGCCGGCGGTTCAGATTCTGGCAATTCTGTTGGATAGGACTCAGAATCCATACTGGCTGTTGCAGAGACGACTGCACTTTGATTACCAGCTGTTATTTCTGTTTGAGTAGTTTCTGATGATGGAGTTACCGGTCGTTTCGCTAAAAATGTCAACGAAGCGCCTTCGTTTTTCGCATCTTCTGCTTTTCTTTCCTTTTGAATATCACGTTTTTTTGCACCTGAGGGATATTGTCTCATAGACATTGTTTAACTTTTAATGAAACGATTGTGTTGCAATCAGCAGCAGAAAGGAAAAATGATCATTCATCCACACAGTGAAATTATTAAAATAGTGTAATAAACTGGCAATTAACAATTAGTTATTGCAAAAAATTAAAATTTGAATTGAAATTTTTAATTGAAATCTGTGACGTAAGATGCGCCAATAGTGTTCGAATTTTACCACAATTCAAAAGTTTGTTTACATTTTTAATTTA